CCACATTGCTCTAAGCTGGTGTATTTTACCTCTTTTGGGCTAGAATTGTTTAATCTAAAACATTTTTGTCATATCTTTTATTTACTAATTTTCATTTTAAGTATAGTAAGTGGTATCCTGGTAACATCCAAAGGGGAGTGGTGATTTGTTTTTAAATATCATTATGGGGATCCTTGGGTGGCACAGTGGTTTGGCGCCTGCCTTTGGCCCGGGGCACGATTCTGGAGACCCGGGATCGAATCCCACGTCGGGCTCCCGGTGCATGGAGCCTGCTTCTCCCTCTGCCTGTGTCTCTGCCTCTCTCTCTCTCACTGTGTGCCTATCATAAATAAATAAAAATTAAAAAAAATATTTAAATATCATTATGAATTAATAGATTTTTAGGCCCCTGTGTTTAAAGCCCTCTTGAAGAAAACTTAAATTTGTGTTCAATCAGGGATCAGGAAAGCAGATAGGAGAAATACTAAAAACTGATTTTAATTGTCATGTTTTTATGATACTCGTAATATTTTATAATAAATTAAACAAAAATGAACTGAATTGGTTGTAGTAGCCATCAATGTGGCTGAGGGCTTTGTGTTTACAATCAGTAAATTCATTTTGTTTGGAACAGGGGCATAATGGAACTCTGTGTTAAGGGAAGCTTGCCAGACAGGGTGAGATCCTAGCTTAGAAGCAGCTGGATTTATCAAGTAGGTGCCAAATTTTCAGGCCCTGGAATAGAATTATACTTTTGTTGATAATGGGCTATCTAGAATTCTTTGTTGGAGCAAATAACTGTAGTTAAGGAGATTTCCAGAGAGGATGGAAATGACACTTAAGGAGTAATCAGTTATATGGCTCACACCTGTTATGCTTCTCTTGCATTGTACTGAGACTATAATGAAGCTAATGTTTATGGAACAAAAGTTATGTGCCAGACATTCTGTACATGGATTTTGCATCCCATCTTCCCAGCATCTATAGATTTTGGTGTTATATATTGTACCTGTTTTAGAGAAAGGAGAGAGCAACACTAAGTAACTTGTCCAAGGTCACAGTGCTGAAGATTCAAACCTAGGTGGTCTGACTCCAGAGCTTGTGTTCTTTTAACTGTTTTTGTTCCTTTATTATTTGACCTTACATCTGCAGCTTATTAGTAATAACAGATTAGGAACCTTATTGTTAAGACCCTCCTGTGGCATGTCTCCTTGAAGAATAAGAATGTGATCCTGACACAGTTAAAAGACATGAGAGCCAGCTTGGGGAGTTTCTACTCTTTGGTGGATGCTCAACTAGATGCATCTCAAAATGATGCAAATATGTTAACTGTTTATGTCTATGTTGGATAAACAATTTTCACTTATATTTTTTCTTATTTCATAAAGAGTAAATGATATTTTGAAAATGCAATAGGTTTGAGAATTTCTAATGGTTATAATACACATAGTTAATGAAGACCTTCTAGTTTGTTTTAGGGTAAAGCAAAAAAAACAACAACACCTTTTTTCTTTTCAATCTGAGTACCCTATCTTTTTCATACTAGAGCAACTTTGAGAAATAAAATAAGTTCAGTTTGGGACATGTTTTAGACATACTATAGTGACTTTGAGGGGCACTGGTGTGGACTTATCTAATAGTTCAGTGAGTGGATTTGGAAGATCAGGAGCTGAACTCAAGATGGAAATTTATCTGTCTGTCTGTCTATCTATCTATCTATCTATCTATCTGTCTCCATCCCCACCTGGGTGCTGTATAGCATGACCTGAGCATCTGCCTTTGGCTCAGGTCATGATCCTATGGTCATGAAATCAGTCTTACATCGGGCTTCCCCCCTCACACACAGGGAAGCCTGCTTTTACCTCTGCCTATGTCTCTACCTCTCTCTCTGTCTCTCATGAATGAATGAATGAATGAACAAATAAATAAATAAATAAATAAGAACTCTGTTTCAAAATATTAAAGCACAGCAGATTTGGGTAGAGGCAAGGCAGTGTACTGTTGCCCTGGACAGAGTCCTGATTTAGGAGTGAGGGATCTCGTTGCGGTTGTGTTAAACTTTTAGATTGTGAGACCTTGGACACAGGGACTCTGTTTACTCATGAAAAACCAAATCATTGATCTTTATGTTCAGTTCTCCTCTATTACTGAAAAGATTTTCGTGCAATGGGGCTTTGTTATTTAAGTATCCCTAATATGTATGGGTGATACCTCTAGATCCGGAATCAGAAAATTTCTTTCCAAGACCCATCTTGATGCTATAGGCTATGTAACTATGGAGAGAAGGAATGGGAAAGAGAGAAGACAGAGGATCAGAGGCCTAATTAGGCCAGAAAAATAATTCTGAAGCTTTTCTTTCACATTTTCAGTATATAAACTTCTATATGGAAATGATCATAAGCTACCCACTAGAGTGAAGGTGTCTGTTTCAATCCTAAAAGTGTGGCTTAGTGATCATGGACAGTCATTTCAGTTTTGGTTTATTACTCTTGATTGTTAGTGTGTATTGGAAGGTGTGGGCATGTTGATTGCTTGTACTTTGAGATTTTTGAAAAACATTTAATGCATAATAGTGTGGAAACACTAAGAAAAGGTACAGGACTGCAGTGGAAAAGAAAGTGAAACTTAACTTTACATAGACGTGTGTTCGCTTTGGTCACTGGTAGACTGTCACTTTGTATTTACAAATAAATGGATTTGGAATAGGCCTTTTGGAATCTAACCTTTACAGAGAAACTTTTGTTACCAGGAAACATCCATTAATTCTGGTTATACTTTCTTACTTGGTTTTTCAAGTTTGGGAATAATGGTTTCCTCTTTAATCAAAAGTACTCGAGTCATTCTTGATGAAGTATGTATGTAGAAATAGCTTAACTAATGATAGATTTTTAAGCAATATCTGTCATTAACGTAATCCATTTTATTAAAGATTTTATTTGAGAGAGAGAGTGAGACCATACATGAGTGGGGGAGAGGCAGAAGGGGAGAAGCAGACTCCCCAGTGAGCAGGGAGCCAGACGCAGGGCTGGATGCTTAACTCACTAAGCCCCGCTGGTGCCCCAGTATAATCCTTTTTACTATTGCTTTGAACACACAAGTTTGGTAGGTACAGAAGGAATTTTAGACAATGGTTACTTACCCAGAGAGGTTTTGCCCTAACTATCTTGCTTCCTGGCATATTACTTTCGAAATAACAGGCATTTAACATTTATTCATTTGAATTAGGGGGGCATAATTTTCAAATGTAAGACAATGTACCATTACTGCTAACTTAGTGGACAGTAAGTGCTGTATTTCTGAAGGGAGTGACCCAGATAGATGGAAGTGTAGGGATTTTGGGAAGTCTACAAAAGAAATGGGACTTGAGTATTGACCAAGAAAAATGTGAATGAGTGCTGAGGGGAGAGTTATTCTGAAAATGGAGAATAAGAATTTAAGAAGGGAGTCAAGAATGAATGTAATTTGTATGAAGGAGCATAAGAAGGGGGCACCTGAGTGACTTAGTGTCTGCCTTATGCTCAGGTCATGATTCCAGGAGGTCATGATCCCAGGGTCCTGCCCTCATCCGGCTCTTTGCTCAGTTGGGGGGGGGGGTGTCTGCTTCTCTCTCTCTCTCTGTCCCTCCTCCCTGCATGTATTCTCTCTCTTCCTCCAGGTACAGTGCATTGCTCAAAAACTACCTGAATGTACTAAAAATAAAAATGCTTTTCTAGTGTTGGAGTTGAACTCATTATTGAAAGAGGTGGGGTAGAGTAGGTATGGGGGACTGCTGGGTTAGAATTCAGTTTAGTCAGTAGAAATACCATACAAATTGAATTCTTAACCCTTATTTTATTTTGATTCCCAGTTAGGAAATTACAGCTATCCATGATGACCCCTAGAGTTCAGAGTATATAGGGAATCAACTTTACCAAATTTAGGAAATTGAATATTTAATTCCACTGGCACATGCTAGCTTGATTTAAGTTTTCAGGGAAACTAATTGACCAGCTCAGTCAGCTTCATTCCCTAACTTGTCTCTTTAAAACTAAAATTGTAAATGCTTTTTCAAAGAACTAGACATTATTTAATGTTATTTTTATAATCCTTGTCTTTTCATACCATATTTATAGCCATAAACATGAGTATGGTTCAGTATGTCATAACATTGTGATAAACTAAAAATTTTTTCCTTCTACTTTTGTTAGTATGGTAATTTTTTTTTTTTTAAATAGGCAAACATCTTTGGCAGGCAGTTTTTAAGCATTTCTCCTTCCACTATGAAATTGTTTTCACTCTTAACTTGCGTTTCTGTTTTTCTACTATTGTAAAGTGCAGTTCTTTGCATGTTTTAATTTGCCATGACGTGGTCAAGTACCATTTCCTTCCTGTTGCTTACAAGCCTGTGCTAGAGATAAGGATACATTTCAGTGCATTAAAAAAGAAGCCACTGAAGACAGGCTTAAGCATGGTAAAACATTCTACTTATCAGAAAGCTTTTTAAAGAAGAGAAAGAATGGACTTTAATTTCTGCTTATTTTTTTAATGCTCTTAAGATAATACTAAGCTTTAAATGTACTAGACAGATTTAAATTCTTATATATATTAGGTCTAACAAGGATACTGTATGAATGTTTCTCCTAAGGCAAAAATATACAGATGAAATTACTCATGTGGTTTGCTGGATTACTGGCAAGAAGGAAATTGTTTATATGTCCTTTATTGCAATTACAAACCTAGTTCTGGCTGTTTTTTTTTTTTTTTTTTTTTTAAGTATTTGGTACTTTAACTGTAGTTTAACTGGGTGGGGGGAGGAAGGGCAAATGGCTTCAGTTTCAGAAATGAGAAGTGATTTTATCTTAGGAGGAATGAAGTCTTCAAAGAAAATATATATGTAACTTAAACCTGTTTCATCAGTCATGTTGATTTTGTTTAAAAAATTAACAAAAAATGTATTGGAGACCCTGCCCTCGGTATTTATTTTTATATTCTAAATGAGCATGATTGCTTTTTCCTTCCTAACTTAAGCTTCTGTTTTTCAGGCCAAGAAGTTCTAGAGAAGAAAAATTTCAGAAAAATTGCCTATGTTTGAGTAGACTATCAGTGAACCAAGAAAATTTGAAGCACCATCCCTAAAGAAAACCTGGTATACAGTAACTTCACAGACTTAGCTGAGGGTTTTTTTACCCAAATTGGTCACTGGATTCTGCTGCCTCATACTTGAACCTGCTTGGAATTTTTCTCATGTGGATCTAAGGGGAATGCTTTATTATGGCTGCTGTTGTCCAACAGAACGACCTAGTATTTGAATTTGCTAGTAACGTCATGGAGGATGAACAACAGGTATGAAACCCAGAGAAAATTGGTTTTTAATACATTTGCTATGATGATTCTTCCATTTGCAACAGAAAATTATTTACTTTAAAATATAGTAGGGGAAACTATTAATGAAAAAATGTAGATATTAAAAATTTGATGGTAATTGTGATCATCTGTTTTAAGTACTCATTAATTTGTTAAGAAAGAATTTAATCCTTAGCTTTGATGTGGAACAAGGAGGTAATAATTTCAAGGTTAAGCTTGTGTTTTTGTAAAATGAGACTCAACATTAAATAAAATACCAGAGTACTTGAGTATTTTGAAAAGATCTAGAGGACATACCAACAAGACATGTAATTTTTTTTTTTTTTTTTGTAATACAGGACTGGGGTTGTATTAGTTGCTTACAATTCTACAGTGTAAATGTATGTTGTTATTAGTATTTATAATCCTGGGCTGTTTTTTCAAGTGGATGGAAAGATGTTAGTCCCATAATCATGCATCGCTTCAGTCTTAAGCACGTGATTCTGAGGAAGTCATTTAACTTCTCTAGGTCTAGATTGCATCATCTGTTGAATGGGGGACTGAACTGAAGAATTTCTAAATTGGCTTTCACTGAGTTTATGTTCAGTGATGTTCCATTTACTGATTCTAGAATGGGAAGAAGATCCAGGAGACATTGAAAGAAGGATCTAAGTTAATCTTAGTCTCTTTGCCCCTCTGCTCTGTCTCTACTTCAGGGGAGAGATGCAAGGGGTTCTTGGGACTTTATAATTCACTTCATTTTAAACAGGTTATGTGGCAATGTAAGACGTAATATGGGGAAAATGTTCTTAGACACAGTGTCCTGACAAAAATATTTTGAGGACCTGGAGGTTTAAAGTATGCCTAATGAATTGATTTAGATCCTGAAATAAGCCTAATTCCAAATATCTAACATTAATAGGCCAATTACAATGTATCAACTTTTATTCTAGAAACATAGTTACAACAGATAATAAAATTGATACTTTTGGCAGGTCATTATAATTTCTTTGCTGTTTGTATTGTCTATTGAGGTGACAGGGTTAAAAATTTATAAGTAAACCTATAAAAGATGAGCATTTGCATTGAGGTACCTTAAAATCAAGATGAGCTTTGGATGGGAAGGAAAAAAATTTAAGGGAGAGGGTTGCTTGGTCCAAAATAAAAATATATTAATAGGATTTAATCTAGAAACAACAGAAAAGACATTTTAAGAAAGTTTTTGAATTTGTTTCAAAACAGGATATTTCTCTGTACGTTAAAGTTTGAAAACTGTATTACTGTGCAGCCCTCTTAGATGAAAGATTCCAGGCTTGATGTGGTAAGGTTTGTTCTCTGTGTGGCCACACAAGACAGAGCTCTAAGCCACTCACTGGTGTGCTCTAGTATGGTGGCTTTGGCACTCTTCTGACTGTGAGAAATACATTTTACATTATGGTATAGTATTTGTACATGTGTATATTTAGCCTTAAAAATAGTTTTGCACTTGCCCTTGATAGGTGTGGTGTGCTTAGTTTATCTTGGAGAGGTCATTTGATGCCTTTGAATAGATGATGATCTCTTAGCTTAATATCATAATGCACATACATGTTTTTTCTTATTTTTATTAAAATGGGTATATATATATATATAGGTGTATATATATTAGTTTTGTGCAGGTGTTATTATAAGGACTTTACAAATATTTAACATGTGAGGCAAATACTATTATCCCCATTTTACAATGAGGAAAATGAGACAGAGGTTAAGTGATTTATTTGAAATCATACAGCTAGTCAATAGTGGAATTGCAATTTGAATGCAGGCAGTTTGACTGTCACTAATGATGTTGGATACCCTTGCGCTGAAGTATGCCAGTATTACTGTATTATAATCAGTGTCAAAAATTGGCATGCCTAGAGTTTTCCAGTCTATGGCTGTGAGCATAGCAAACTTAACTGACTCATAGGGATAGATCCAGTAGTGTCAGTCTTATTATTAGCATCTTATCTGTGGTTCTACTTCCTTTGTTGTTTGCTTGTTAGATTTGTTTTTGATTTAAAAGTAATAACATCCCAATTATGAAAGAAGGCACCTAACATGAAAATACATAAAAGAGTTCTTTACCCTTTCCACCTAATCCATTTGTCCCCAGAAGACACTATTATTAACTATTTGATGTTAATATTTTAGAGAAAGAGCTGAACCAAAGAGCAACATATGTACATATAAACCTACATAAAGAGATTGTTTTTAAAATGCAAATAAAAGTATGCTAAACCTTTTCTGTGAATTGTTTTCACTTAATGTATTGTAAATATGTATGTATGTATGTATGCTGGCTCTACATCATTTATTTTTTTCACATGATGGATGGATCATAATTTATTTTACCAGTATTTGATCATGGACGATTATTACCAGTATTTTGCTGTTATAAACAATATTGCAGTGAACATTTTCATTTGGGAGGCAGTAGACCTATAGTAATTAAGAGCTCAGATATTGGAGTCAGAAGACTTGGGTTTGAATCCTCCTCACTCCACTACTTATTACTTCTGTGACTTTGGATAGACTACTTAGCCATTCTCTGCCTTGGTTTCCTTATCTGCAAATGAGGATGATAGTACTAAACCCTGTATTATAGGGTTGTTGTGAAAGTGAAATGGGTTATTCTATATAAAGCTCTTAGAACCATGCCCAGTTCTTCTTAGAACCATAATCGTGCATGCTCATGTGTGTATCTTTGTATATGCATAATGATTATTTCTGCCTTCATCTCTAGTATACAATTTTGAATGAATTTTAGAGTTAGCTTCTTAAGTTACATAAAACTCTGTTGGGATTTTAAATTTTCAAATTTAAAAAGTATTTGTGTCTTTTAAAATAATTATTTTGGGGGCATCTGGGTGGCTCAGTCAGTTAAGCGACTCTTTTTTTTTTTTAAGATTTTATTTTTTTGTGTGAGAGACACAGAGAGAAAGAGAGAGAGAGGCAGAGACACAGGCAGAGGGAGAAGCAGACCCGATACAGGGAGCCCAACATGGGACTCCATCCCGGGTCTCCAGGATCACGCCCTGTGCCAAAGGTGACGCTAAACCGCTAAGCTACCCGGGCTGCCCAAGAGCAAGCAACTCTTAATTTTGACTTAGGTCATGATCACAGTCTTGGGATCTGCCCCCACATCAGCCTCTACACTTAATGGGGAGTCTGCTTGAGGATTTTCTCTCTCCCTGTCCCTCTGTCACTCCCATCACTTAGGCATGTATTCTTTCTCCCTCTCTTTCTCTCAATAAATAAATAAATCTTCTAAAAAATAATTCTGTTTTATGATCCTGTATTGGTCTGGTTGGTTCTTTACAAAATCACTGTTGAAGGCACCAGATTAGAATATATTTCCTGTTTTGAGTTATGATCTGTGGTTATAAATGTCATCTAAAGAAGCTGACACCATTAATGTCTAGTTGCCACCACTCTGATCATTTTCCCTTGTATCAATTTGTACTCTTTTTAAAAATGATTTTTATTTATTAGAGAAAGAGAGAGTAGGGGGAGAGCCATAAGCATGGGGGTAGGGGGAGAGGAAGAAGCAGACTCTCTACTGAGCAGAGAGCCTGATGTGGGCCTCAGTCCTGGGACCCTGGGATCATGACCTGAGCTGAAGGCAGACACTTAACCAATTGAGCCACCCAGGCTCCTAATTTGTACCCTTCAAAATTGCGTGGAAGAAGTCCTTTGGCCAGGGATGGGTGTGGGGGGATGGTAGTGTTGGAAAGGAAACACCAACATTATTGGTGCTGACAAGCCCCTTTTAAGTCTCCTCTTGATGTCTATTCAAAACTGGGAATATTTGTTGCTGAGAACGAAGCACTTCTGTGCTGGAGGGCACCACCATCAGTATTGGATTGCAGTATGTACTTTTATTTGAAGGTGCCTTGGTTTGACCTTATTAAGCAGGTGTGTTTGCCTGGGGGAACGAATGAGAATAAGAAGAAGTCTGAAGGCTGTGGATACAAGTTTTTAAAGAGAAGGAAACTTGACTGTATGCTCATATAGTCCAGACGTTAATGAAAAACAGCTGGTAGTTTAATGCATTTTGTAATTTTCACGTATCATTACAATATATGTCTTTTCAGTTGTTGGTCCTAAAAGTAGAACCTAGCAAATCATAGTTATTTATGCTTAACACACTTGGTTCACTAGGGAGTAGCTTGATGACCAGCATGGGAAAGTGAAACAAATACTTTTATAGAATCCTATCACATATAAGAAGGTGGGAATGTCTGGGTGGCTCAGTGGTTGAATCTGCCTTTGGCTTATGTCATGATCCAGGGTCTGGGGATTGATTCCTGCATTAGGAAGAGCCTGTTTCTCCCTCTGCCTATGTCTCTGCCTCTCTCTTGGTGTCTCTCATAAATAAATGTAATCTTTAAAAAAAAACAAACCAATATAAGAAGGTGGTCTTATGACATTCCTTCTTAGGATAAAACTGGTTTGCTCTGTTGATCCTTAGAGACTAAAGAGGAAAACAGTGCCTTGTTGTCTAATGAGATACCCGATAACTCACGCAGTGATTGAGAATCACTGCATTGCAACTTTGGGAAAGCTTCACTCTAGTAGAAGTTACATTAGAACTGCATTTTGCAGGAAGGCCCAGTTTATCCAACAGATTGAAGGAGCGGAAGTGTTCTGGAACAGTAGAATGTACCAAAACTTTTGATGGATTTTCTTGACTATATAGTCAATCTAACCACCTTAACTTAAGGTTAGAGGTTTTCATAGTGTTTTTCATGCTCTTTCCTTTCTTGTACTACATTAATTTTGCCAGCCTACTGTGTAATTTCCCCAAGTCCCTTCCTGCTTGATCTCCCACATTCATACCTGTTGACTATTTAAGTTCTAATCTCTTTTTAAGATTTTAGACAAAACCTACTTGTTCCAGGAATTTATCCTAAAATCAATATTTTCAGGAATTAACAAAGTTTATCCTGTTATTTCTATATCACTTATTGTCACACATT